CAAGTACCCCTGGATTCGACCCCTGGCACCACATGGTTCTCAGTGCCAGGATGGATTCCTGAGTACCAAGATGGGACTAACACTATCATTTTTGTGGGGGTGACCCTTACAAATTCTGTTTTAGTTATGTATTTATTTGCTTGGGGGTCATACCCAGTGGCGCTCAGAGGGATGCCGGGGATCAAACCCAGGTTGGCCGCATGCAAGACAAGCACCCCAGCAACTGTAGTATTGCTCTGGACCTTTCTTTTGGGAGGGAGGTCACACCTGGCGATGCTCAGGAATTACAACTGGTGGAGCTCAGGGGACCCTATGGGATGCCTGGGATTGAACCCAGGTTGGTCACGTGAAAGGCCAATGCCCCTCCCACTGTGCTATCACTGTGGGGGGTGGAGGGAGGTGGGCCCACACTCTGGGCCTTTTAAATAACACCACTGGGGTCCTATTTACAGCCGGGGTTGCCCGGGCCGCTGAGCTGCTGGGCTGAGTCCTCAGGCCCCGACTGGCCATGTTCTGTGCAAATGCCGACCAGAGAGTGCTGGCAAGCTGCCCTCCTGGGTGCCGGATTGCTGCCTCGCCTAGTTAATTGGTGCGATCGTGGCATTTAAATACCCTTGTAAATCACTTGGAGTCTTCTCTGCAGCGAGGCTGGGTACCAATAAATATCTAAACCCCAAGTCACTTCTGCTTCCTGATTAAATTATCCAGCCTCAAATGCAATAACATCCTTGTCTTATTAAGAGGCAGTCGCTCGCTCCATTCCTGTTGGCTGATCCCTGATAAACAGCCCGGACTGGCGGGCCGCCTGTCCCTGCCCCACCCCCCGCCCCCCACCCCTGTTTCTGGGGATACAGGAGCCGGCTCCCCTCTGGGTTGGGGGAACCCTAGGAATTTTTCTTTTATTGGAACCAATTGCTGCTTGAGGTTCTGCTTTGTTTTGTTTGGGCACATCCGGTTTTGCTCAGCGTTTACTCCTGGCTCTGTGCTCGGGGTTGTCTCCTGGTGGCGATCAGGGGACCCTCTGTGGCATGGGGTGCTGCATCCAGGTCGGCATGTGCCAAGCAAGAGCCCTCCCCGTTGTCCTATCTCTCTGCCTTCTTCTGTCCCCAGAGCTGGAGAAAGACAGTGTTTACTTCTGGGGACTGTGGGTGGTTTAATCGGAAAATAATTTGTTTTTTTTTTTATTTTTAAAGGCAGAAAAAGAATATTTTAGGAGAAGGAACTTGAGGGCACAGGTAACCTGCTTAGAGGCCATCAGGGCTAGGTTTTACCCTTGGTTCTGCACTCAGGGATCACTCCTGGTGGTGCCTGGGTGGGTGGGGGGGGGACGACCCTGTGGGGTGCCAGGGACCAAAGCCGGGTCTGCCACGTGCAAGGCCTTAACTGCTGGACTACTCGCTGGCCGCAACTGCACATCGTGACTCTGCACCCAGCCACATCTCCTCCCGAGAGCCTACGGGAACCGGGGATGGAAAGGGACCAGCGTAGCTGAGCACCCCCCTCCCCTCACACCGCGCCCCTCCAGCCCCCCAATACCCTCATTTAATCTCCGTGCCCGCCCGCAGAGTGCCCCTCGAGTGGAGGTGCTTTGACGGATGCAGACAATTATTTTTCCTTGAGAGCCGCCGAGCACTGCTTGGTGCCATTCGGCATCTTCTCTTTTGCAACTTCATCATCCAGAGGAGGAAGAGGAGGAGGAGGAGAAGGACCCATGGGCTTCCGGCTGGCTGGAGTAAAGGAGGAAAGATGTTAATGAAGGGGCCCGGGGTGCTGCTTCCGGGTTTGTACTCATGAGGGTCTTGGTGGGGTGGGGGGAGACTGGGGGCAAGTGTACGCTGCTTTTTTTTTTTGGGTGGGGTGCAGGGGAGGGGGCTGGTAGGTCCCATCTGATGGTGCTCAGGGCTGATCCCTGGCTCTTCACTCAGGGGTCACTCCTGGTGGCGCCCAGGGGACCCTGTGGGATCCCGGGGGTGAAACCCAGCTCAGCTGCGTGCAAGCAAATGCCCTCCCTGCTGTACCATTCCTCTGGCCATGCTAGTACTTAAAAATAAATAAATAAATAAATAAATGCATTCAACTGACCTGGGTTAGATTCCCTGTCACCATATAGGTTAGAGTCCCCCACCCCCGAGCACGATTTGTGTGACTCCAAAGCCAATCACAATCACAACCATCCTGTTATTCATCGATTGCCTCGAGCAGGCCCCAGTAACGTCTCCTTCGTCCTACCCCTGAGATTTTTTTAAAAAGTGCCACATTCAAGGCTCTTTCAGAGTTAGGAGAATGAGACCCTTCATTGTTACTGGTATTTGGCATATTGGGTACACCACGGGGAGTTTGCCAGACTCTGTCGTGTGGGCAGGTTACATTCGGTAGCCTGCCAGTTTGTCCAAAGTAGGAATGAGGTGATAAGATGTCACGCGCTTCGGGAGCTGGGTTTTATAGCCTCTGAGTCTTGGCCATTGATGGGATTACACGGCGCCAGGGGGCCAGTTGGTGGGTGTGACCACCCCCCTACTGGAATTTGGAGGATCTGGGTGGAGGATGCTCAGCCCCAATCTGAGTAGGCTTGGAGATCTCAGCCCCGGGACCCGCGTGGCTTTGTTCCTCTGCTGGTACCAAAATAAACCAAAATCAGGGGCTGGAGAGATAGCACAGTGGGTAGGGCGTTTACTTTGCACGCGGCCGACCTGGGTTCAATTCCCAGCATCCCATATGGTTCCCTGAGCACTGCCAGGAGTGATTCCTGAGTGCAGAGCCAGGAGTAACCCCTGTGCATCGCCAGGTGTGACCCAAAAAGCAAAAAATTTATAAATAAATAAACCAAAATCGAATAAATAGGGGCCTGGGTGATAGGATAGCGGAAGGGTATTGGATCCAGATTCGATTCCACCCTCCCCTCCAGCACCACCAGGAGCTATTACTGAATGCAGAGTTAAGGGAAACAGACAAAAAGTCAAATAAAAATAAATAAGGGACCCGAGTGGACAGTGGATAAGGCACTTGTCTTGTCTCAGCCGCCACAGCTTCAATCCCCCGCACCGCACAAGGTCCCCCAAGCACTGCCAGGAGTGCTTCTTGAGCACAGAACCAGGAGTCAGCCTTGAGCACTGTGGGTGTGGCTCAAGCCTTCCTGCTTTTTTTTTTTTTTTTTTTGGATCACACCCGGCGTTGTTCAGGGGTTCCTCCTGGCTCTGCACTCAGGAATTACTCCTGGCGGTGCTCGGGGGGACCATATGGGATGCTGAGAATTGAACCCGCGGCCGCAAGAGAAACGGCCTACCCGCTGTGGTATCACTCCAGCTCCCAAGCCTTCCTGCTTTAACAAAACAAAACAAGACAAACGGCAGGATTTGCACAAAAGGTGACAGTATTGTTTGTTTTCCCCCCGTGAATGGGAGACGGATGTCCAGCGCCCCCAGATGCGAGGCTGGGAAAGGTGAAACTGAAGTGGACAGGCAGGAAGGGAAGTTGGTGGCCGGCGTCCAGGGGTCCCGGGGTGCAGAGGGGGCTGGGGGGGAAAGGCTAAGTCTTAGGAGGCTTTTGGGGGGTCCCGGGTGGGAGGGGCTCTGGCTGGTGGGCGCAGCTCTGACCCCCCCCCAAGTTCCCAGACTTGGGGGCAGGTCTGCAGTGCGACAGCCGAGGCAGGAATAAGGGCTGGACTCCCTCCCCGCAGGGGAGCCGGGGATCCCCCACCCCCGCCAGGCTGTGCGTGCCTAATTAGGATCATTTCAGATAGCGCTTATAAATGGGTGATTATCCTTATAAATGAGCCGCGGAGCCGCGCGCTTCTGTACAATTATGTCGCTGGCGCACGTTCCAACAGGCGTTTTGCACAACAGCCCCCAGACGGGGCGGGAGCGAGGAAGGCGGCGGCGGGCGGGCTGGAGGGCGGCGCTGGGGCAGCCGCGTTACACACTCGCGGTTGCCAGCCAGGCGTTCGGGACGCTCGTGCCCGCATCCCCTCTCCCAGCAGCAGCAACGACTGCGGGGGATTCGCCGGCCTCCCGGGTCCCGCTCCCATCCGCACGCAGGCTGTGCCCTCCGCGACCAGCAGAGGGTCCCAGCGAGCACCCGCGTCAGGCGCCCTGCGGACCCCGGCGACGGTTCCCACCGTAACTCATCCCACCCCTCACATGCCCTCTCTCCTTTCCTGCTCACCCCTGTGGCTCACTGCCGCTCCAGACACAACAACCGCCTCCCCCAAACCCACTGTGTGTGTGTGTGTGTGTGCGCGCGCGTGTGTGTGACTTTTTGTGTCACATGCGATGCTCAGGGACTACTCCTGGCTCTGCACTCAGGAATTAACTCCTGGCATGCGCAGGGCACCCTATGGGATGCCGGGGATCGAACCCCGGCCCCTACCTGCTGGACTATTAGCTCAGTCCCCTCTGCTGTAGGTGGCTAAGAACATTTTTTCCCAGCGATGCTCCCTCTCAGGCCTCTACCCTCAGCCCCTCCAGTTCATGCCCCCACTCCTTGCCCCCTCCCTGCTGTTTCTTCCTCTTGTGGCCATCGAGGGACCCGAGGACCACGTGTGGGGAGGACGTGTGCTCTAGTTTGGGGGTTCTCACACTCCTGGCTGCACAACTGGAAATGGTGACCTCTTTGTTCCCGGGGTTGAGATTACAGAGCTGCCAAGATAAGAAACTTGGAGGATGTGGGTATCAGTGGGGGTTGAACTCCAGGTCTCACATTTGCAAGGCAGGTACTGCTAGACACGGAAGCCCCGCCCATCTCTCCTCGGGTCTGCTTTGGGGCCACACCTGGAGGTGCTCAGGGATCACTCCTGGCGGGGCTCTGAGGACCATATCAGGTGCTGAACCTGGGCTGGCTGTGTGCCAAGAAAGCACCCTCCCTGCAGTCCGATTAATCTGGTCCCTTGCCTTCAGCTCTTGATTCAAGTGGCAACATCCCCTCACCTGGGTCACACGAGGGGGGGGGGCTGGGGGAATCCTCCCCACAGCCTGCCTGATCTCTGAACCCCCGCCTCCCCGCAGACCCTCTTCCAGAGCCCCGAGGAAGGCTGGCAGCTGTACACATCAGCCCAGGCACCTGATGGGAAATGCATCTGCACGGCAGTGATCCCAGCCCAGAGCACCTGTTCCAGGGACGGCCGAAGCCGGGAACTGCGCCAGCTCATGGAGAAGGTGAGACCCTCTAGGATCCTGGGGGAGGGGGCTGGGGGGACTGGGAGGGGCCGAACTCACCAGTCCCCACCCTGCTTTCTGCTCCCCAGCCTGTTCTGTGGTCCAGGATCCTCAGAAATAGCTGGACATTTGGCAACCTGATGCCTTGTCAATTTCAGTTCCTTGCAGCAGGTTGTTGTTGTTGTTGTTTTTAAAGGGGGCTCATTTCCAGTGGTGCCTGGGCTACCCGGCGGTGCTGGGGATTAAACGCTGGGTTTCAGCCCGTTCAGCCATTTCCCCCTGGCCCCTAGTTCAGTCTCTGGGGAAGCCGATTGCTTCTGTGTATGAACTTGGGGTCCGTCTGCCCTGCAGTTCACAGGATCACATGCCTCTTGCACAGTCACTTCTCCCCTTCCATCCCAAGAGGCTGCTAGAAGGATCCCTCCCCTTCCAAAGAGTTTCCTGCCCACAGCATCCCTGCAGATGCTTTGGTCTTTCACCCTGCCCTGCTGCACTGAGCTGTCCTCTGAGGCTGGGCTTGAAAGGGACCAGCAGAGGGTGGGGGAGGTGGCTCAAAGGGCTGGAGAGGGGACCGGAGCGATAGGACAGTGGAGAGGGCGTTTGCCTTGCATGCGGCTGACCCAGGTCCCATCACCGCTGACATCCCATAGAGTCCCCAGAGTACTACCGGGAGTAATTCTTGAGTATAGAGCCAGGAGTAACCCCCGAGCATCGCCAGGTGTGGCCCCAAAAAGAAACCAATAAAACGGGACGGGGCAGTGCAGTCTCTGCGTGCAGGAGGCCCTGGGTTCAATCCCGGGCACCACCAGCAGCAGCCACGGAGCAGTGCTGGCCGTGCTCCCATCAATCCACCACCGAGGAGGCACGGTGAGGGAGAAGGGTTGGCAGGAGCAACGGCCCTCGTGGAGTTTTTTGGGGAGGGGCTTCGGAGTCTGGGGTGCTCAGAGTCTGGGGTCGGTGGGTCTGATAGGAAGAGGGTGAGGAGCGGCGGGTCCAGCTCCCTGCAGGGCGAGGGCCTCCGCGTTCCTGGTCACAAGCGCCCCCTGGCGGCCGTGGGCGCTCAGTGCTGCCGGCGGGTGCGCGGCCACGCCAGGCGCTGGCCACGGATGGGCCCGGCTGCCCTGCACCTGGAGGCTGCTGGCCAGAAGCGGGGAGCGGGGCAGGGAGAAGGCAGACCTCGGGCACCCCCCCAACACACACACACACACACACACACACACACACACACACACACACACACACACACACACACACCCCTCGCCAGGCGTCGTCACCCTGCCCACTCCCCAGGTGCAGAACGTCTCGCAGTCCATGGAGGTGCTGGAACTGCGCACGTACCGTGACCTGCAGTATGTGCGGAGCATGGAGACGCCCCTGCGCAGCCTGGACGCGCGGCTGCGGGCTGCCGACGGCTCCCTGTCGGCCAAGAGCTTCCAGGTGCGTCCTGCGGGGGGTGCGGCCAGGTGCTCGGGGAGTGTGTGCGTGGGGGGGGGTTTGCTGGGGGAGGGGCGTCATTCCCAGGGCGGCGCTCAAGGGGTTTGAGGGGGGGGAGGCGAGCAAGCCCCGACGGTGCGGACGTGGGTCAGCGGTCGCGCTGGAGGCTACGGGTCCGTGTGGGGGCGGGGCCAGGAGCTGAAGGAGCGAATGACGGAGCTGCAGCCGCTGGGCTCGGTGCTGGAGCAGTACAAGGCCGACACGCGCACCGTCGTGCGCCTGCGCGAGGAGGTCCGCAACCTGTCGGGCAGCCTGGCGGCCATCCAGGAGGAGATGGGCGCCTACGGTTACGAGGACCTGCAGCAGCGGGTGCTGGCCCTGGAGGCGCGGCTGCACGCCTGCGCACAGAAGCTGGGTACGCCTTCACCTGCCGCCTCCACCCCTTGCCCCCAGTGCCACCTCAATGCCCATGTGTTTTGGTTTGTTAGGGGGAGCACCCGGCGAGCTCAGGAATCACTCCTGGTGGGCTCGGGGGGGGGGGGCACCCTATGGGGTGCCGAGGGGATCGAACCCGGGTCGGCCCCGTGCATGGCCAATGCCCTCCCCGCTGTCCTATCGCTGCGGCCCCCTCAATGCCCAGTCTTGCTTGCGCTGTGCTGGGACTTGAATCTAGACTTCTGTGCATGCGAGCACTTCGCCTGGATTGCAGTTTGGGCCTCTCTAAACCTGGACCCCTTTCATTGCCCTGCCCAAGCCCCTTCCCACCAGAGAGGGAACCCGCCCTGACCTTTCACCTCCAGCCCCTGCCCCCACCTCACTGCATCTTGGACCGACCCTAACCCCTGAGCTTCCTCCCTACATCCCCGCTCTCACCCTGACCCGTTTTCCCACTTCCCAGGCTGCGGGAAGCTGACGGGGGTCAGTAACCCCATCACCGTTCGGGCTATGGGGTCTCGCTTCGGCTCCTGGATGACGGACACGATGGCCCCCAGTGCCGACAGCCGGGTGAGTTGCTCAATGCCACACCAGTGGCTCTCTTGTACCCCAGTGTGTCCTGTCGTCCCCCTGCCCGGCACCCCCCAACTCTCTAGGGACCACCAAGCCGGCTGGAAACTTCTAACGCTGAGAATTCCAGAAGGGCTCAAGGGAGATGCTGGATCTGCTCTCAGTAACCTTTGATCCCAAAGGACCATCTGTGACTGATGCATGCTTGCCCTCCCCATGACCTTTGAACTCCCAGTGTCTGCTCCTCACTTTTGACTCTCAGGACTGCCCAGAAGGCTGATCCCGAGCCCCAGGCAGCATCAGTCGGAACCCCCCGCATCACTCCCCCCATTCCTGCCGCTGGCCTCTCGCCATGACTTGCATGGGAGGAGGAAGCCATCCTCCAATGGCCAAGAGCTTGGGGTTAGGGGTCAGGCTGAAGTTTGCATCCTACTCCCTCAAGAACTGTGGGCAGGCGCCTCAGGCTCTCTGAGCAGCCCTTTCTGTGTCTTCAGAATATTCTGGAGGGGCCATAGCGATAGTACAGTGGGTAGGGCATTTGCCTTACATGTTGCCGACCCAGGGTTCGATCCCCGGCATCCCATAGGGCCCCTCAAGCAATGCCAAGAGTAATTCCTGAGTGCAGAGCCAGGAGTAACCCCTGAGCCATTGCTAGGTGTGACCCCAAAGCCAAAAAAAAATCCCCCAAAACTAAAGTATTCTGGAGTGGTGGTACTCACTTCTTTGGGGTGGGGGTTGTGTGGCCAGTGCTCAATGCTTACTCCTTGCTCAGTGCTCAGGGTCCACTCTGGGGAGGTCCCAAGAACCTCCTGAGGTACTATGATGACGGTGGTGGAGACTCTGACAGCCTGGTCCCCTGTGGCTCCAGGGCTTACCATTGGCGATAAACCCAAGGGACTCATTGTCGCACATATTGCCAATGACCAGGGTAAGCTCTCAGGGCCTGGGAGTCCTTGGGGATTACAGGGTCCTCCATTTTTGTTTGTTTGTTTTGTGGGTCACCTGGAGCAGCTCATTCCTGGCTCTGTACTCAGGAATTACTCCTAGTGGTAAAGGTAAAGGTAAAGGCCCTCCCGTTGATCGACGATTTGCTCGAGCGGGCCCAGTAACGTCTCCATTGGAGACTTTGTTGTTACTGTGTTTGGCATATCGAATACATCACGGGGAGCTTGCCAGGCTCTGCCGTGGGGGCGAGATACTCTCGGTAGCTTGCCGGGCTCCGAGAGGGGCGGAGGAATCGAACTCGGGTCGGCCATGTTGGCTGCATGCAAGGCAAACGCCCTGCCGCTGTGCTATCGCTCCAGCCCCACTATATATATATATATATATATATATATATATATATATATATATGTAAAGGCCCTCCCGTTGATCGTCAATTTGCTCGAGCGGGCCCAGTAACGTCTCCATTGGAGACTTTGTTGTTACTGTGTCTGGCATATCGAATACTCTCGGTAGCTTGCCGGGCTCTCCGAGAGGGGCGGAGGAATCGAACTCGGGCCGGCCATGTTGGCCGCATGTAAGGCGAATGCCCTACCCGCTGTGCTAGTGGTACCAAGGATAAAACCTGGGTCGGCTGTGTGCAAAGCAAACGCCCTCCCCACGGTAGTATCGCTCTGGCCCTGACTGAAGTGTCCCTTGGTTCTAAGGGGTCAACCCCCTTGACTTGGTATCTTTTTAAGGCTTCCTTGGGGTAGCCGGTGTCCCACGAGCGCATCACGATGGGAAATAGGCTGACCAATGAATAGCCAGAATAGCCCCCAGAAGGCCCATGATTGGTTGAGAATAACTACGAGAAGGCTTGTGATTGGACATGAATAACCGCTGGAAGTCCCATGATTGGTTGAGAATGGCCACCAAAGTTCTGATTGGTCATGACCACCGGAAGTCGTGTGCGAGGCCCTGTGATTGGTTGTGAGCAGCCACCAGAAGCCCCTTCCTGTGTGCCAACTTGGTAGTGACATGGCTCCCTAATGACCCGGGTTACTTGGCCTCTGGGTACACCACCCCCTACACACAGACACACAGACACACACAGCCGCATTGACCTGTGGCTCTCCCCCAGGTGTGGTACATGGATGGCTACTACAAAGGCCGGCGGGTCCTGGAGTTCCGCACGCTGGGCGACTTCATCAAGGGTCAGAACTTTATCCAGCACCTGCTGCCGCAGCCGTGGGCGGGCACGGGCCACGTGGTGTACAACGGCTCCCTCTTCTACAACAAGTACCAGAGCAACGTGGTGGTCAAGTACCACTTCCGCTCGCGCTCGGTGCTGCTGCAGCGCAGCCTGCCGGGCGCCGGCTACAACAACACCTTCCCCTACTCGTGGGGTGGCTTCTCGGACATGGACTTCATGGTGGACGAGAGCGGGCTGTGGGCCGTGTACACCACCAACCAGAACGCGGGCAACATCGTCGTCAGCCGCCTGGACCCGCACACCCTCGAGGTGATGCGCTCGTGGGACACCGGCTACCCCAAGCGCAGCGCCGGCGAGGCGTTCATGATCTGCGGGGTGCTCTACGTCACCAACTCGCACCTGGCCGGCGCCAAGGTCTACTTTGCCTACTTCACCAACACGTCGAGCTACGAGTACACGGACGTGCCCTTCCACAACCAGTACTCGCACATCTCCATGCTGGATTACAACCCCCGCGAGCGCGCCCTCTACACCTGGAACAACGGCCACCAGGTGCTCTACAACGTCACCCTCTTCCACGTCATCAGCACCGCCGGAGACCCCTAGAGGCGAGGCCCTTTCGACTCTGCCTGTGCCTGCTCCAGCCGACCTCCCTCTGTCCTCCCTCACACCCTCCCGCCTCTTCCCTCCCGCCCTATTTCCCCACCCCCCGCCCGCCCCGACTTCCCTTTGCATTTAACCTTGACTGATCTCATTTGGAGTCTCTGTGTCATCCAGCCTGGAGGCGGAGGGCGGCTCACTTTTTTTATTGATCCCACTTCCCAGCTCTCTTCTCGGCCCTGCCTGTTTGTCTCTCTCTCTCCTGCCTCTTTGCACCTCAAGCCTTCCCCTCCCCACCTCTCCATCCCTGCCCCCACCCCCCCAGTTTGAGTGCATGGTTGTTTCTTTTTTCTATTTACACTTTCTTTCCGGGGTTGCCGGAATAAACGGGACCTTTGACATTTGATGCCCAGGGAGCTGTGTGGATGTCCCCTGTCCAGGCTGTGCCCGGGGGGTAAGTTTCCTGAGCTGGGGAATCGGCAGATGCAGTGCCTGGACTAGGCTTGGCTGCATGCAAGGCAGCCACTGTACCACTGACACCCCGACCCCCCAACTGGTTGTAAAGCTTGTAGAAGTGCTAAGAGGGGCCAGAGAGTGCAGCAGACAAGGCTCAATTCCTGGCACCCCATATGATACCCCAAGCCCCACCAGGAAAAATTACTGAGTGCAGCACCAGGAGTCAGCCTTGAGCACCACCAGGTATGTCGCACCTCCCTCCCCCCTCAAAAAAAAAGTAAAAGTGCTGTCCTCTGGGCACCTAGGAGAGCTAGCTGAGCAGGGGCACGCTTGCATGGACAGGCACTCAAGTTCAGTCCCAGCACCGCATGCCCCCTCCTCCCACAAATACCACCACCACCACCAAAGGTGGCCCCTAAGAACCTCTGGGCTCAACCACACATCGAAGGGGTTCCCCCACCCTCCCAGAACCTCTGAGCACTGATAGGGGACAGTAAGTGGAGAAAAAGAGCAACCTGATCTGAATAGTCATGGCTTCTGGTCACAACAGCGACAAATGACTCAGATGACAATGCCCTCCACCAAGGCCCTGAGAAAGGACCAGTAGCTCTGAACTCATATCCTAGGAAGGGCAAAGGAAAGGACAGGAAGGTGGAGTTCATGCCCAATTCAATCAGCTTAATCAATGGCTGAATAAATATCAATACTACTACAAAAAAAAAAAAAAGGAACCCGCAGGGCTTACATTTACATATTGATTTGGGAGTCTGGGGGCTCCCCTGGTGCTCTCAGCCCTGAATCCAGGCATCACCTATCCCGCTGTCTCTGAATCATTAGTAACTTTTCCCAGTTTTGTTTTTGGGAGGGGTGGGGGGTTTGGGCCACACATGGCAGTGCTCGGGGATCACTTCTCATAGGGGTCAGGTAACCAGGTGCCAGAGATCGAATCTGGGCCATGCAGGGAAGAGGCAACTTGTGTAGAGGATGGTTAGGAAGACAACTTAGACCCTGAACAGAGCCAACCCTTGAGGGCCTCAGGAATCCAGTGAAGGGCTCCCCCCCCACCCCATATGGGCTCTGGAAGGAAACAAATCTCCCCAAAAGCTCCCCAGCTCATCCCAAAGGCCCCACTGAATCCAGACAGGAACTTTGCGCCCAGGGGCCTGCCATGGCCAAGAGCCCCCCTCCCCATCTCTAATTAACAGTTCCCCTGATGAAATCATCTCCGGGCAGGCTGGGCCCCTGCCCACGGAGCCCATGAATAATACATGGGGTGCCTGGTGCACGCAGGAAATCCTCAGGGAGAGCAATTCATCTCCATTTCCATGAACCAGCCGGCTGTCAAAGGCAATCTGTTCCTGGCCAGGCAGAGGGTACAAATGCTTCAAAACACGGGATGGGGTGTCTCCAATTCCTCAGTCTGTATTGATTTGGGGGGCAAATCTCCGAGGGTTTGTGAAGGAGTGATGCAGGTCCGGTGCTCCGCATCCACTGCTGTTTGTACCCTTGGTTCTGGGACACCTCGTGGCCTGCCCGTGGCAGTGCCTGTGTTCTCCCCCAGCCCCTCCCATCTCTCTCTCTCTCTCACACACACACACACACACACACACACACGGGTGTCACTTTCCAGTGGGAACATGTCACCTTGAGTCTGCATGGGCTTGGGGGTGTACCTGTCCACCACGATCCTTCTGAGGGGGGGTGGGCCCATGGAGAGGACCCAGGACACCCCCAGGTACCCAGAGCTTCCCTGCAGAGGTCATGAGAGCCTTCCGGGCCGGACCCTTCCCCAGGCTCCAGGAAGGGGGCAATCTCTTGGGCCCCCTCCAGCCCACAGAACTGTCTGGGGGCCCCCGGGTGAAGGAAGATTCTGGAGGGCAGCAAGCAGTGCACTCCCGAGGCACAACGAAACTCACTGAAACGCCCCCCAGCTGGGCCAGAGGGGAACTAGCCCAGGGCACCCAGGGTTGAGACCTCCTGCCTCCCCGGCTCTCTCAGGATCCCCCTGCCCCTCCATGGGCCCTCTGCATTCCAGAAACTTCTTTGACATCCAGGTCCCAGGATCCTGGTACTGGTAAAGGTAAAGGCCCTCCCGTTGACCGTCGATTTGCTCGAGCGGGCCCAGTAACGTCTCCATTGGAGACTTTGTTGTTACTGTGTCTGGCATATCAAATACTCTCGGTAGCTTGCCGGGCTCTCCGAGAGGGGCGGAGGAATCGAACTCGGGTCGGCCATGTTGGCCGCTTGTAAGGCGAACGCCCTACCCGCTGTGCTATCTTGAAGGGCATGTCAGTTCACTGGGCGAGGGGTTTAAGAAGGACCCGGGGGGGGGGGGGGGCACTCCTGGATGGCTGGGGCCATTTCTCAGGGTGGAGACGCAACTGGCCCCGTAGGAAAAGTGAGGCAGGGAGGAAGTGAAACGCAGACAGCAGCAGCGGCTTGAGGTTTAATGGCGGGTGCACAGAGGGCACCCCAGGCCCTGCATTCACAGGGCACCCCAGGACAGCCAGGCCCCACACTTGAACGTCTGTTGGGCTTTTTTTTTCAACTGGGGAGAAGGGCAAGGCCTTACCAGAAACCCCTGGGGTCTTCCTGCCCCCCACCCCCGTGTGAGCCTGGTGGGGACCCCCGTGGCCAGCCCTTCTCTCTTGGACTGGAATGCGTCCCCTGGATCTGGAGCCCCCCGCACCCCCGGCTGAAATCAACTCCTAAAATATGGAGGGGGCGAGGGAGGTCGCCCCTATGAGGGAGCAGACATGGAGCAGAGACCCCGATGCGCCGCCCTCCCGGCCCCGTGGGGAACAATAAATACTGGGTGGGCAGGAGGGGGGGTGGCCGCCCTCACTCGGTGCGCAGGATGATGTGGATCCCCGAGTCCGTGAACACAGGCCCGCTCATCTCCCCTGTCCGCAGCGCGAAGGACGCATCCTCGAAGGGTTTCTGCATCTGACCTGGGGGCGAGGGATGCTCGTCAGGGCTGGCTGTAGTGGGGGCGCTGTGCTCAGCCCCCCTCCACTGCTCCGTCACAGCGGCATGGTCCCAGGAAGCTGGGAGTTGGGGCTGCGACCTCCTGTGCCCCGGCCTCCAGGGGGGCCTGGTGGGTAGCCAGAACCTAGACTGGCTCCTCCAATCCCCCAGTCCTGAGTCCTCCTTTCCCATGGCCCCCCAACCTTGGCAGGAAGAAGTGCCCGCCTGGCTAGCCCCAGGCAGGAACAGGGCTGCCACCTGGTGGGCCCTGAAGGCTCATGCAGCTGCACGGTTCTCCCTTAGGCTGGGGTGGGGGCCCCCTGGGGCTCAGGAGGCCCAGCCCTCCTCTCCATGCCTCTGATGGCAGCCCCCAGCCCTCCCCCCCACCTCTGCTGACAGCCCCTGGCCGCTGGCCCTCCCCACCACACCTCTGCTGAAAGCCCCCAGGTCCCCCCTGGCCTTGGCTGAGCTGCAGTCGCTGAACTGTGAGGCCAGGGATTCAAAGTCCTCCTCTCCGGACTTGATCTTCTGGATGTAGCCTGCGGACAGGACACATGGGGTGGGGGGAGAGAAAATCCCTGTGGATTAATCACGGAGCAGGTGAGTGTATGTGTGCCTGAGTGATGCAGGACCATGAGTGCAGGCAGGTGTAAGGATGTGTGTGTCTGTGTATGCGTGTGTGATACAGAACCAAGGGTGCAGGCAGGTGTAGGGATGTGTGTGTCTGTGTATACGTGTGTGATACAGAACCAAGAGTGCAGGCAGGTGTAGGAGAGTGTGTGTCTGTGTGTGTGTGTGCATGAGAGAGATACAGGTGTCGGGAGGGGGGGTGTGCGCATGCACATGTGTGTAAGTGATAAAGGACCGTTATTGCAGGCAGGCAGGCAGGCAGGCAGAGAGAGAGAGAGAGAGAGAGAGAGAGAGAGAGAGAGAGAGCGCGCCAGCCATGAGTGCAGATAGGTGTAGAGGTGTGTGTGTGTGTGTGTGTGTGTGTGTGTGTGTGATACAGGACCGTTATTGCAGGCAGGTGTAGGGGTGTTTTGTGTGTGTGAAGGAGATGGTGACTGGTGCTGGGGCCCCTCCAGCCTTCTGAACCACCTCCCCCCCCTTCTCCTTTCTTGTGGTCTTGGAGCTTGAACCCAGGGTCTCTTACACATGCCTGGAAGTGATCCCCTGCTTGGCGTCCCTGCCAGGACCCTCAGACCTGCTCTACTTGCTGCCCTTCTGTGGGGGCCTTCCCTGCAGAGGTCCTGGGGAGGCACAGAGCGGACTTGCCTGTGGTCTGAGTGACCAAAATGGTCAGGGCTCGGTGGGGGAGCGGCTGGGTGTTCCATGAGCTGAGGAGGAGGAGACAAGGGCTGACCGCCTCATCCCGTCCACAGCCACCAGAAGGCACCCAGCCAATCTCCTACAGGGGCATCCGCGGCCTTTCCACAGGGCCCGTGTGGAGCCAGGGCCTGCCAGAGTTTGGGGGTGTTTGGGAGTCCCCCATTCTGATGCACTGCAGAGGAACATGTCTCTGCTGCAGGCCAAAGGTCAGAGGCTCACGGGATGAGACCTACGGAGGAGCGGGAAGCCCACCGGGAGCTCCGCCCCAGCTCCTCCCGAAACCGTGACTTCTGGGACCTCCCTGGTGGCATCTGAGAAATGGGCTGGACAGCAGCTCGTCCACTGCAGGACAGGCGGTGCCGTGACAGTCTGTCACCCGCTGTTTGACCAGGTGGCAAGAGGAAACAACTGTGAGCCCAGGTTCCCTGAGGCCTGAGCTGGGCCTGACTAAGGGGCGTGAACACCTCCATAGACACCAGAGGGCCTGAAGAGGCTCAGACACACCCAGGGACATGGGAGGCCCCGATGCCCTGTGGCCTGGGCAACAACAGGAAAAAAAGACAGGAGACCTTAGGGTCCCCAATGCCCACCTCTTCCGACCTGGAGGCGCCCAGGAAGGCAAAGGAGGAGGTAGGCTGCCCACAGGTCAGGGCCTCACCCTTAAAGTGATGTTGATAAGGGCAGGACTGATCCCTGGCGCTCTGGACACAGCACCGCAACTGCAGAGTCAAACATGGGCACCTGACTGCCACCATGGGTCCCCGGTCATCCAGGGACCCCTGAGGCACAGGGGCTCCTGGCCCATCTCAAGACATAAGACCCAGCGTGAGACAGGATCCTCCTAGACTCCAGGGGATACTGTGTCTGTCCTGATGGAGCTCCCTGGCCCCTGCTCCCCTAACTCGAACCCCAACAGCCCTCTCACCTCCCCCCAGTTCAATCCCATGACCTCCTTGGGCACCTGATACTCTCAATCTGTGGTCCCTCATCAGCCCCTCTGGTCAGGCACGTCCCTGCCAGGGGCTCTGTTTGCAGTTGCCTGCCTCCAGGACGGGGTCTGTCCCTGCGGTCCTGCAGCCTGGCCCCAGGTTGTTGGTGCCCACAGTTACCTCCTGCCCACTCATGTGGAGCCTGGAGTCTCAGAACGGGGTCACTCGAGCTGGGGGGTGGGGGAGACAGGACAACAGTCATCTTATGAAGCTTTTCCCACCCCCTCCTGCTTGGCCCCCTGCACACACTGTTGGGGGTCCCCGGGTCCTTCCAAGAGGGGCCTCCCACCCTCAGCTTCCTCCTGGTCCAAGAAACGCTGCTAGGAAGTAGGCAGGCATGCACTGTGGGGGCGTGTATGCATGGGGGCTTCAGCAGAGAGGGACAGAGTCAGTTCCAGCTCTCATGAATAGAACTGAGGAGAAGCTCCTTCCCCTGCCTGCAGGATTCCATTCAGGAACTCGCTTGGGGGGCTCTGGCGAGAGAGGGAGGGGTGCAGGCACTGGCTTACACACCACAGATACTGGTCTCATCCCTGGCACTGCAGGTCCCGTGCCCAGAGCTAGGAACAGCTGGTGAGCACTGCTGGCTGTGACCCCAAACCCTCCTCCACCCCAGAACACCTCGTCTCTGTGAGACCCCTAAAGTCAGCCCCATGTCTGTGCGTGCCACTGAGCCAAGGACTTGGACCGTGTGCTCGAGACTGTAACCGTGGGGACCTCCACACGCTCTCCTGCCTTTCCTCTAGTCCTGGCCGCACTCACCCAAGGATGAGTCCTATGAGCATGTCCCTCCCTTTCCAAGACAAAAGAGCCAGGCTAAGAGGTCACACAGCCTGGCCCTGGCCGGCCGGGATGAGGGGACATGGGTGAACAGGAGCAGGCGGGGAGAGTACAGAAACTCCAGGGGAGATCCCAGCTGGCACTGTCCTTCGGGACGGACATGCCTGCTCTGCGCAGGGTGTAAGCGCCCTGTGGTGCTATTTCCACTGACTGGCACTGGTGGTGCTGAGGACAGACCCTGGGGTCTCCTGTGTGCAAGGTCAGGGCTTTACTGCTGGGCTACCTGACAGGGACTAAAGGGTAACAGCCACAGGCTGGCACAAATCAAGATTCGAGGAGCCTGGCCTAAGCTGGGGGCTTTACAAAGTTTTATTGGCACATGACTGTGTGTAGGTTTTCCCAGGGTCTATGGTCACTGCAGAATTGGGACAGTTTTGACCCATTTGAGCCCCACCCCTCCAACTTTTTCTGTTTTTTAGGACACACTGGCAATACTCAAGGGTTCTGACTGGCTCTGTGCTCAGGGCTGATCCTTGGTGGTGCCCAGTGACCGTATGTGGTGCCGGGAATTTGAAAGGGAATTCGATGCACACGCGCGTGCCTGCTCTCCTTTACTCCTTCCCCAACCCCCAACTGGGACTCTGTAACAAAGCGGGGTCACTACTGCTCTGCATGGGGGAAACACACCCGAACCGGGCCAGCCTCCCATGCCCAACCCTGGCCCGATGCAGTCCCCTGGGTGCCCTGCAGGCTGACCCAGGACAAAAGCCTTTGGAGTGAGTGAAGGTGGCTTTGAAAGGAGGTGAGGCAATCCCCAACTCATAGAGCATACCCAAGAAATACTAGGGGGAAGGCATTGGACGTCCCTGTGGCAGACCCAGGCTCCATCCCCAGCACCCCAGAGGGTCTCCTGCGCCCTGCCAGAAGTGATCCCTGCGTGCAGAGCCAGGAGGAAGCCCCGAGCATCGCCAGGTATGGTCCTCACTGCCCCACCCCCGTCCCCCAGAAAAACCAACTCCAGAAGCTGACAGGGCCCAAGGCGGGGGTCTCCCTGGCTCGCCCTCAATATGGCTGCTGCAGAGGTGAGACAGGAGTGGAAAGCCACAGGAACCACAAAGTGGGCTGAACAGATGGACGAGGGCGGCTTTGGGCTATACCCGTGAGGGACTCAGGGCTGACTCCTGGCTCTGTGCTCACTCCTGAAGAGCTTGGGGGAAATATGTGGGGTGCCAGGGATTGAACCCGGGTCCCCAGGGTGCAAGGTAAGCACGCTCCCCTCTGTCCTATCCATCTGGCCCCAGGGAGGCTCTAACCACAGGGTCTGAGGCCTCTGTCCCCCATGTCTCCCTTTCTCCCCAGGCTCCACTCACCATTAATCAGCTCCAGGGCCTCCTCCTTGCTCCGGGTGATCTTCTCCTGCCGCCAGGACGAGGGGCGCCGGGACTGGCTGTGCTTGACGAGAAGGTGTGAGCAGCGGACCCGCGACGGCTCGCCCTGTCCATTTCTACCGCTGCTGCTGCCGCCACTGCTGCTGCCGCTGGGCCGCTCCCACTGGCTGGCGTTGGTGATGTGGTTGAAGTAGTACACGCGGCCTGCAGAGGCGGGAAAGCAGGTGATGGAGTGGGGACCCATCCCTAGGCTCAAGCCAGGTGCATGAGCCCGAGAGCTGTGACCACGGTTTAGGCGCTGGCCTTGCACGTGGCCGACCCGGGTTCAATCCCCACCACTGCCAAGGTCCTCTGGGCCCCCCGAGGAGTGATCCCGACTACAGACCAAGGAGTCAGCCCTGAGCACCACAGGGTGTGGCCTCCACCACCCCCCAAAAAGGGGACAATGAGACACCTTTAGTTTAGTGGGGGGAGGGGGGAATACTTGGCCATGGCAGCAGCTGGGAGATTCCCAGCTTGGTACTCAGGGGTTAGGGCTAAAGGCTGCTTAGAGAGGCCCAGGCGGTGTCGGGGATCGAATCTGGGCCTTGCGCCTGCAAAGCAAGATCTCAGCCTGCTGAGCATGTCTCAGCCCTGGGAGAGCTTTGGCCAGAGAAGCTGTTGCAGGTGCCCCACTAGCCCCAAGGGAGTCGGCCATCCTCGGTGAGGGGAGAGAGGCACTGGCCCAGCACTTCAGCTACAAGTTTTCTCTGGGTCCTCAGGCGGAAGCGAGTGCGGTGGGCTGGTGGGAAGCCAGGGGACTGACTGGGAGTGGTTCAGAGCACACCAGAACCTTCCATCTCTCTGGCTCTGCCCTGATTCACCGCCTCAGTCTGCTCCCCTGGAAAACACAAGGAACTGGGGGTGGAAGGGGCTCGAGGTGCTGAGAGCCAGTGCCCTTCTCATGAGACAACTTTCCAGGTGACATTTGCTTCTGGGGCCTCACCTCCTGCATCTCTGACAGCGAGGCCATAGTCAAGTCTCCTTTCTGGGCAGAGGTGGGGGAGGCATGCGGTGCACCCCTGGGAATCGGACCTAAAGGTTCCCCCTTAACTGGCTGCAATGCTAAGGGGCGAGCAGCGGGGGCAGAGGGGAGAGACGCCATCCAGCTCAGAGCAGGTGAGGACCGGAGGCCTGAAGCAGGACCCCCAAAAGGATCCCGTGCCACTGCGGGCGGCCAAGCGCGCTGGGCTGCATGGGGACCCACAGCAGGAGGGAACCCCGAGGATGCACATTAGGGTCACTCCAGGCGGTACGGGGAGGCTGTGGGGGAGAGCGAGCCCTGGGCAGGACGTTGGGGCGAGAGTGGGGGACAGGGCTTTGGTGAGGAGGCTGCACCCATCCCCCAAAAAACCTGGGCAATGGGCTTCCGGCACCCCCAAGCCTCCCCTTCCTTCTCTGCAAAACGGGGTGAAGGTCAGAGGGACATCAAGACGCCGTTCAGAGATGGCAGAGGCACAACGTGGGCAGGAGGATGGGGTGCAGGGCGGGGCCGGGGAGCGCCAGCGTCGGGGCTGCGGGGCCAAGGGCACGCGGGGCTGGGGTCGGAGACGCCCTCGGGAGCCGGGAGCCTCCCGGTTCCGTCCCCGCAGGACGGGGTGCCGCCTCCCGCCCGTCCCCGCGCAGGGCGTTCCGGGAAGAGAGCCCCGAGCAGGCGGGGGAGGGGGTGGGGGTGGGATCGGCATCAGCGGCGACCCCGGGGCCTGGCGACACCCCGGCGCGAGCTGGAGGGTCGAGGAGCCCCTCCTCAGGGCGGCCCCGGCGGCCCGGGGGCGTCAGGCGCCCGGGGCGGGAAGACGCCGGTCCGGGGCCCCTCGCAGCCCCCCATCCCGCCGCCTGCCTCAGTTTCCTCCAGTCCCGGCGCTCCTGCGGCGTTAACATCCCCACAGGGCGGCCGAGGCCGTTACCCGGAGACGCCGCTGAGGAACCGAGTCCCCTCAAGGGAGTCGGGCGCCGCGACGCCGCGTCGCGCCCCAGAGACGAGCTCGAGTCCGGTTCCCCGTGGCCCCCGCGCGGACTCGCCCGGGCCCCGACCCCCGCGGCACCTGAGCTGCGGCTCATGCGCTTCTCCCAGCCGGGCGGCAGCTTCTCCTCGTCCGCCATCTTCCCTCCTGCCGCAGCGCCCGCTCCGCCTCCGCCGCGCCGCCTGTGCCGCCCGCGCCTGGCTGCCGCCGCTTCCCATTGGCTCGGCGCGTCCCGGCCCGCGGGCTGGAGGCGACTTTCATTGGACAGTCGAACTGTCCGGAAGAGCCCTTCGGCCTTCGATTGGGCAAAAAAGAAAAGTAGGCGGAGCTTCTCTCGGTTCACATGGGCCCCGCCCCCGCTCTGCCTCAGCAGGCCCCGCCTTTTTCCTCTCCGCGGCTCCTGAGTGGCGCGGAAGGGATTTGAGCCGCCCTAGTCCACGCCCTTTGGCGAGGCTCTCCGAGGTCTCGGCCCCTCCTTGGGGAGCCCTCGTTGCAGCCCGTCGCCGATTGGCTACGGCGGTTGCAGTTCCCGCCTTCTCGGAGGCCCGCACGCTCCCCAGGCAAAAGCGTCTGGCTGGTGAGGCGCTAACGGTAGCCGACGAGGTCCTTGGCAAGGCGGAGCTTCCTTTGCCGTTGCCGCAGCAACGCAGTTACCCTGGTGATGAGCCGCTAAGAACCCCGAAGCCCAAATTTGGCTCTCTCATCCTCCCTCTTCCTGCCGATTTCTTGCAGTTGTCGGAAGCTTACCCACTCCTTGTCATTATCAGAAAAAAAAAATTATTATTGAAGGGGTGGGAGGGAAACTTGGGGATACTGCTGCTGGGAAATTACACTGGTGGAGGGATGGGTGTTGGAACATTGTATGACTGAAACACAATCACAAACAATTTTGTAATGCTCTGTTTCACGGTGATTTAATTTAAACAATGATTTATTTGGGGGTCACATCCGGTGGTAATTAGGGATTATGCCCGGCTCTGCACTCAGGATTCACTCCTGGAAGACTCAGGAGTGTCAAGGTTTAAACCCGTGCAAGGCAAGCACCCTACCCGCTGTTCTATTGCTCTGGCCTCCATTATCATTTTTTAAAGCACGACTAATCCTTTCCCTTGTACCACTGGCCCAAACACTGTCCACTGCCTTTGGAAGCTAATTTCACTTTCCTGCCTCTGATCTGTGTTCCGCCACTCAGATGGGGCCCAGGGAAGAAGCGGGGGTGAAAGAACGAGGGGCTCAGGTACAGTCCACTTAAGTGGTGTCACTGGAGCTCACGGGAAATGAAGTTGTTGGGGGCCCTAGTGGGGAGGAGATATTGGAGTCCGAGATACCCCCGGGCCACGATGGAGCTCTGTTAGACCTGTCTCTAGCAGGGAGCTTGTATGATGAAGAAAAGCAATGGGTGGATGGAGATGGGATAGTATAGTGCGCCAGACGCTTGTCTTGCATGCAGCCGACCCAGGCTCATCCCGGCACCCCAGACAGGCGCCCTCAAGCCCCACTCACACCTCCCCAGCTCCTTGGGGGAAGGCAGGCAGATGGTTGCTGCTGAGGACCAGAGAGGTAAGAAGTACACGGGATACGGCGCTTGTCTTGAACATGAGCCGTTGACTCCAATACTGCATAGGGTCTCACAGGAACCTGAGAACTTCGGAGCAATTTCTGAGCAGTCATGAGTCATGAGTATGCCCCGAGGGCTGGAGTGATAGCAAATCAGGTAGGGTGATTGCTTTGCATGCTGCAGACCTGGGTTCAGTTCCCAGCATCCCATATGGTCCCTCAACACCCCATCCACCCCCTCCCCCTAATACCGCCAGGAGTAATTCCTGAATTCAGAGCCAGGAGTTAGCCCTGTGCATTGGTGGTGTGACCCAAAAGGAAAAAAAAAAAAAAAGAGAGTATGCCTTGAACTCCACCCCCCTGTGGCCTCCACCCAAAAAGCCTCATTTATAGAAAGAGACCCAAGTTTGGGTCTGGGGAAGAACCTGCTGTGCAAATGTGGGGTCACAAGTTTTTCTTGGGGAGGGGGATTTGAGCCACACCCAGTGGTACTCAGAAGACCCTTCCTTGGTGCTGGGGATTAAATAGGATCGGTCAGATGCAAGGCAATCCCCTTCGCCCCTGTACTCTGGCTGGTGTGAGACAGTTTGGAGAGTCAGGACAGAAGCCAGCAGAGGGGTGAGGAGGCGTAACAGAACGGGACAATCTTCGGTTGGGGACAGAGATAGGACAGCACACATTGGCACGGCAGGGTCTTCCCCAGACACAAACTTGGGTCTCTTTTAATAAATGATGCTCTTTATTTTGTGCGGGGGCAGAGTTCAGGGCATGCTCCTGACTGCTCAGGAATCACTCTGGGGTAGGGCCTGATGGCCCCTATAGGGTCAGGGATGAGCCTGGGTCGGCTGCGTGCAAGGCAAGTGACCCGGCCATGCACGCGGTGGACCCAGATTTGATCTCCAGCATCCCAGATGGTTCCCGAGCACCGCCAGGAGTAATTCCTGTGTGCAGAACCAGGAGTGGCCCCTGAGCATCGCTGGGTGTGGTCCCGAAACAAAACAAAGACACTGTCTTGAACATATCTGGGCAGGTCAAGGCTCACATTCCCTAGCTCTGTGGGGGAAGACAGGCAGAAGGTTGCTGTTGCGGGGACAGAGAGGTTGGAAGTACAGAGGTTAAGGTGCTTGTCTCGAACGTGTGCCACTGACTCCAGTACTGCATAGTCTCACGGGAACCTGAGTTTCAGCAGTGAACCTTGAGCACAGCCAGTTGTGACTCCAACTCACAGAACCAAGAAGTCTGCAAGGAACTAGGAGAGCAGCCGGAAGGGGCTCATTGATGTCGGGAAAACAAGTTTCATCTGAAAGCAGCCTTGATCCCATGGGCAATGACACCCCACCAATAACAAGCTCCTTGCCCAGCCGGGAGAAGGCAATGAAATTAAAACCTGCCTGAGCCGGGGCCTGAGCCATAGGATAGCCAGGAGGGTGCTCACTTTGCACATGGTCAATCTGGGTTCAATCCCCACAGCCCCGGCATTTCATATGGCCCCCCGAAATGGGTGCTTGGGCAGGAAAGTGAAATTAAGATTCCAAAGGCAACGGGAGGTGTTTGGGTCAGTGGCACAAAGGAAAGGATTACCCAGGCTTTAATCACACCATCAGGAGTGATTCCTCAGTGCAGAGCCAAGAGTAACCCCTGAGCATCTCGGGTGTGGCCAAAATAAGATAAATCTAACCATGCGGGTTAATTGGTCTGGGGGCACTCTGGTGGCTTAGGAAGGGGTGCCAGTCAGCCCACCTGCATCCTCTATTGAGGGTCCCCATGTACCATCTCCTTGGCTGACCTCTGGCCTTCAGACCCATCAATCCACTCGGCCCTGAGCCCCAACAGCGCAATGCCCACACACGCTCAACCCCTGTGCCCCTCAAAGAAGAGAACAACAGAGCAACTTTTGCATTTTTATTACCATGGGTTTTTCTTTTTAAAAACAGGAGGCCAGGCGGCCATACCAGCGAGGGGGGCCAGGGTGGTAGGAAAAGGCAAGTGGGGGGCAGGGGGGACGGGAAGGGCGGGCGATTCGGCTCTACTGATAATAAAGCTCCAAGTTCATCCCATCATGGATTTCATCTGGGGTCAGAGAGTTAAGGAATCATTCTGGATGTTTCGAGGCCGGCTCAGGGGGGTGTGGGGTACCTGAGCTTCCTTGCACAAAGCACAGGCCTTCTGAGCCGAGGAAGGACGTGCACAGGCACTGACCCACAATTTCCTCCATCCAAGGAAGCTGCTTTTGGTGTGGGCCACACCTGGTGAGGCTCCCAGTTGACTCCCGGCTCCACGTTCAGGGATGGGCCTTGGAGGGGACCAGGGGAACACGGGATGGTAGGGATTCAAGTTCACCTCCCCATGTCAAAGCATTCCCAAGGGTGAGAAAGAAGAGTACAGCGATCAAGATGCTTGCCTTCCCACACTGCATATGGTCCCCTGAGCGCTGCCCTGGGTCACTTCTGAGCCCAAAACAAAAAAGTTCCTAAGCCCCCCCCCCCGAGCGATAGTAAGGGGTATGCCTTGCACACAGCTGGGCAGGGTTCAATTCCCCGCACCCCATCTGGTCCCCCAAGTATCACCAGGAGTCATTCCTGAATGCAGAGCCAGGACTAATCCCTGAGCATTGCTGGGTGTGATCCAAAAACGAAGGAACCAAAATAGCTCCTGACCACTATCAGGTGTGCCCCTCTGCCCCACCCAAGGTGCTCTACCCTTTAACCCAAATCCCCTTCTCAAGGAAGCAGTTTGGGGCACATCAATAGAATTTAGGGAGCCTCCAAACTCTAATATCTGAACCTTAAGGTATCTCTAGGGTGTCTGTCTCCTAAGTGGGGACAAAACCATTTACCCAGTCTCTCTCACGCCCCCAACACTGCCACTGCGAGCACCTCTACACACCTGGGCCCTGAACTGACAAAGTCGCTGTCCTGGGGACTGGGGACCCCGGTCTTAAGACACCATGTAGAAAGGATACAGTCCCCCAGAGACACGTGGTCCTTGAAAATCGTGTACCTGTGGGGCAGACGCGGTGTTCAGAGCGCCGGCCTCAACCCCCACCTGCCCTCCCGGCCCCCCAGCTCCCCGCCCGCGGAGGGGCGCACTCACCACTTCTTCAACACGATCTTGTTCCAACGGGTTCCCGTCTGGGCCGCAATCAGCTTCTTGAGGTCCCCGATGGTGTCATCCGTGCTGGGCGCCGGGGAGTTAAGGCAAAGGCCAACCAAGGGCTCCAGGCCCGGTCGGAACACCCCATCCGCCCCCTCCCCCCGAAATCACACCCATCGGGGGGACCTCCACGCCAACTCCAGGCCCCTCCCGGGGAACAGGACAGCGAGCTGAGGATACTTGCACTTAACACGGACTTTTTTGCCCAGACGGTCGTTACACACAACCTCGATCATTCTGTCCCGTGCTATGCGCAGCGGGGAGGAAGCAGCAACATCAGGGATGGGGGTTTTGGGGGGGTCGTCCCAGATCCCAATTCTCACCTTCGCCTTCCCCACCCCCACCCCCACCCCCAGCCCGAGTGTACCCGGGCGCCAGGTCCCACGTCTGCGGGCCGCGGACCCCAGAGTCCACCCCCCGGTCGCACCGTCGGGGACTTGGGGAGAGGAGGGGAGCTACGTCCTTACCTCGAGCCGCCTGGAACCTGCCGAAAACACAATTGCGACGGCAGAGCGCAAAGACGCGATTGAAGACGTCTCTGGCAACCGGAAGCGGAAGTGCGCGTCCGGAAGACACGCCCCCACGCCGGGGCGCTGCGACATTCGGTCGCTGGCTTCCGGGTTGCTAGTGAAGTTGCGGGGGTCCGTAACCTAGGGCGGGGCGAGTAATCATTCCAGCAGCCCAGAAATAAGTATCGGGTAGCGTGGACCTTCCTTTGCCTCCAAACCCCATCCCCTGCTCTGTGGCAAGGACTGTTGGAAGCTCGCGGTTTCTATTTGCGGATTTCCAAGACGGCTTCACTGCAATAGTGCGTACCCGGGCACCCGACTGTAGTAACAGAACAGAAATGTTTGAATAAAGTCTCACTACAGTTACAAAGTGCTGTTTTTATTTTACTTTTATTTAGGGGCCACATCCAAAGGTGCTCAGCTGCTAATCTCAGTTTGGTGCTTGGGGGTGGCTCCTTTCGTAGCTTGGGGATCTAGGGGGTGCCCGGGATCGAATCCAGGTCTTCTGCACGCGCAACCCACTCAATCCTTTGAGCTCTCTGACCTTAAACTGCTTTTCAACCCGAGCAATGTACTTAGTGAACAATTTGGCAGTACAGATCAAAATGAAACATTAAAGCTACCCTTTAACCAAGCTATTTCATGTCGACAAGATTTCCTTTGTGCTTTTGGATCAAAAAGTATTATTGGGACGAGGGCGATAAACAAGTGGCTGGAATTCTTGGTCTGCGTGCAGACTCATAGGAGTTCCCTTTCTATCTTCTGTGTCCAAACAATCAGAACAGAAATTAACTAAAAATGTAGCGATTACACGGTTCCCGGCTCTTGATCCGATCCCAGCTGCGTCACCGCTCTAGCCATACCTTCCAGTTTGATCCTTCACCCGGCCCCCAAAGTAAACGCCCCCACGCCTCGGGCCGGCCTGCGGGGCTGAGCTCCCGACATAACCCCGCCCCCTAAAGGTTCCGCCCAATCAGGCCTTTCAGTTTAGTCTCGTCCCCACCCCTGAGCTTCAGGCCCCTTTCTCGGGCCCCACCTCCGGAGCCTCATCCCACACCTCAATCCCGCCTCAGGGGCGGTGTCACTATGCCAGTCAGGCCGTCCCCAGACTAATCCTCGTTCCCGTCCACTTCAGTTTCAACAGAGTTCTCCGAGTAGGACATGGCCTGAAATCAGGTCCCCCCGAGACTCGATCTCCCTCTGAATAGCCGCGCGCCTACGCGCCTATTAAGGACTAATAGGACAGCCCCCCTGTACAACCCCGGCCCTCCTCCCCAGTCCTTAATCCCGCCGCCAGTCACCGCGTTAACCCCGCCTTCCGGGCGTGGTCCTCCTTCAGAGCCCCGCCCCGAAGCGCTTTCCTGCCGGCCTTTGACTCCGCCCCTGAGTGCCTCACCGCCCTCGCCTCGCCTCCCGGGATTGGTTCGCCTCCAGAGCCCCACCCCCAAACGGCTTTCTACCCCGATCTACGCCCCTTGGACGCGTGGCCGCCCCAGCCTCGCCTTCCGGGATTGGTCCGCCTGCGGCTGCGTCACCGCCCCAGCCCCGCCTTCCGGGCTGGGTTCCCCTATATAAGCCGGCTCCTCCCCGGGGCCGGTCGCGGAACGAACTTTCTTGGACTCTGCGCTCCGAACCTTTTAGCGGCCCAACGACCGCCGTGTCTCTCCGGCTCCCCGGAAGCGGACCCCGCGACCCCGCGGCCCGTGCTCCCCCGCCCCTCGGGCGCCCCTCGGACACGTCCCGCGCGTCCAGGAGGAAATGCGTGTCGGCGGGGTGATGGCCACTCTGAGCGACCTGCCGGACTCAGTGCTGCTGGAGATCTTCTCGTACCTGCCGGTGCGGGACCGGATCCGCATCTCCCGGTACGTGCGGGAGGAGCGGCGGGAGGGGTCCCGGCCCGCTGGCCGTTCGTCCTAACGGCGCGTCCCCTCCCCGCAGGGTCTGTCACCGCTGGAAGAGGCTCGTGGACGACCGCTGGCTGTGGCGACACGTCGACCTGACCCTCTACACGGTAGGGCGGGCCGGGCCGGGCCGGGCCGGGCGCCCCGATCGCCCCGCGGGCCGTCCCGGTGGCCGCTGTCTCCTCCGCGTCTCGGATGCCAGGACGTCGCGGCGGGGCGCGGGGCTGGGCGATGGGCAGTGGGCCCCGTTCTCGGGCCGGATAGTCGCGCCTGCGTGGAGAGATCCACGCACGGAGTCAAAGTAACTTCCCGAGTGAATTTCTCCAGCAGGGCCAGCCAGCCGCGTCGCTGGCGTCTCTGGCCTTAGCACTTTCCAGAAAAAGAAAGAAAGAGATACACGTCTGGATGAATTGTTTCAAATAGAAATAAAGGGCAGGGAGAGATGGCGCAGGGAGGAAGCGTGCGGGGAGGGAGGGATGGAGGGAGGGCGCTGGCCTTGCAGGGATCCACCCACGCGACCACATAGGGCTCCCGCAGCCCTGCCAGGAGTCAGCTTTGAGCACTGTGCCAGGAGTTAGCCTTGAGCATTGCCAGTGTGGCCCAAAAGAAAATTGTGTGAATTGTTAGAAACTTTTTTTCTTTACCTTTTTTTTTATTTAGGGGGTGTAATCTGGGGACACCCCACAGTGGTGTTGAGGGATTACTCTGGTGATGCCCAGGGGAGGAAGGCGGAACCAGGCCCAGCCTGATGAACTATCTTCCTGGCCCCTGGCTTTTTCTTTTTTGGGGGGTGGGATGGGGGTTACCCCTGGCTCTGCACTCAGGAATTATTACTCCTGGTGGTGCTGGAGGGACCATATGGGTTGCTGGGGATCAAACCCAGGTTGGCTGCCTGCAAGGCCAATGCCCTCCCTGCTGTACTACCACGCTAGCCCTTTTTTGGTATGTTCTGGATATCCCAAGGGACTAGGGAAGGGCGGTCCTGCGGGAGGGGATTGAAGCTCACATCCAGGGGACCATGGGGTAGTGGGTATCAACCCAGTTGGGAGAATGTCAGGCACCTGTCCTAACCACTGCCCTATCTTGGCCAGCCTCTGATTGTGGGTTACACCCAGCAGGAGGTGGGACTCCCCAGGGGCAGCGGAACCCCAGTGGGGTTGTGAGTGGGTGAGTGTGTCCGTGAGGAAGGGAAGCCTTTCAGGGGAGTGACTGAACCCCTTTGGGTGGGGGGCTGCCTGCCTGCGCTCACCTCTGACTGGTCTCCCGCCATCTCCACCTCTTCCAGATGCGCCCCAAGGTCATGTGGCACCTCCTCCGCCGCTACATGGCCTCGCGCCTGCACTCCCTGCGCATGGGGGGGTACCTGTTCTCGGGCTCCAAGGCCCCACAGCTGTCGCCCGCGCTCCTGCGGGCCCTGGGCCAGAAGTGCCCCAATCTGCAGCGCCTGTGCCTGCACGTGGCCGACCTGACGCTGGTGCCCATCACCAGCCTGCCCCCCACCCTCCGCACCCTGGAACTGCACAGCTGCGAGATCTCCCTGGCCTGGCTGCTGCGTGAGCAGGACCCCAGCGTGCTGCCGCACCTCGAGCGCATCGTGCTGGACCGCGTGCCCGCCTTCCACGACGAGCACCTGCAGGGCCTCACCCGCTTCCGGGCGCTGCGCTCGCTGGTGCTGGGTGGCACCTACCGCATCACCGAGACGGGGCTGGATGCGGGCCTGCAGGAGCTGAGCTACCTGCAGTGGCTCGAGGTGCTGGGCTGCACCCTGTCTGCCGACAGCACCCTGCGGGCCATCAGCCGCCGCCTCCAGGAAGTGCGCAAGATCCGGCTGACCGTCGGGGGCCTCTCAGCCTCGGGCCTGGCCGTGCTGGAGGGGATGCCAGCGCTGGAGAGCCTGTGCCTGCTGGGGCCCCTGGTCACCCCTGAGATGCCCACCGCCACAGAGATCCTGTCCTCTTGCCTCGCTATGCCCAAGCTGAAGGTTCTGGAGCTCCAGGGCCTTGGCTGGGAGGGGCAAGAAGCCGAGAAGATCCTGAGTAAGGGGCTGCCCCACTGTATGGTCATTGTGAGGGCCCGCCCCAAAGAGACCATGGACTGGTGGATATGACTGCACCCCCAAGTCAGACCGCCCACCCCCCCACCCCCCAAGCTTCTCGGGGCAGAGGACAAGAGGGATTCCAACGTCTTGGTGACCCTGGGCAACACTGTCAGCCTCGGACACCTGCCCGCTGGCATCAGGAAAGGGGGGACACTGGCTACCTCGTGGTTATGTTACCAAGCCTTACTCTTTAGTTTCCAGCCCCCTCTGGAAAAGCCCCCATGAAGAGGCATGGCCAGGGTCACCCCCTGTGGGATCAACGGAGCCTCAAGGGTGAGGTTAGGTATTGGGGGAGGAGCCTAGAAGGTCTGGGGGACTTTACAGAGACCCCAGCCGTGTGCCTGCCCACTCCCAGCCTGGCAAGTGGATGGATATGGCTGACCAGAAGGTTCCTAAAGATTCTCAGTTCTCGCTTTTCTACTCTGAAGTTTTCCAGTTTTTTTTTTCATAATACAGATTTTTTTCTATTAAAGAAACACAAGTTGTTTGTTTGCCAAAAAGCCACTTGCGTTTCCCTACTCACTGGTTCTCCTCCAGCACCCCCTCTTTGTTAGGTTGGGGGCCCCCAAGCAGGCCCAGGTTCATTTCAGAGCCCAGAAAGCTAATCCAGGTCACAGGACAGAGGCTGTTAGTGGTGGTGGTGGTAGGGGGCGTTCCCCAGAGTCAGGACCAGCAAGATGCTGAAAAATGCACCGCATAAAGCACTAGACCACCAACAGAAATCCAAGTTGTTTCCTCCACCTCCACCCCCCCCTCCCGGGAGGGAAGGAACTAGATGTTTCCCAGGACTGAGAAGGACCCGTGCTGGGTGATCAAAAGGAAGCGAAGGCATCGGAAGGTTGACGGGTGAGGCCGGGTGGGGACTTGCAGGTGCCTCGGGATTTGGGGTTCACCGAGCAGCGAAGCCTCTTCCTGTCCCCTGTGTCTCTACCACTTGAAAGTCACAGCTGCCAGGGGCCTGGTGGGTCCTGAACACTCCTTCCCCAGCCAGAGAAATGTTGCTTTGTTATATTTTTCTTTTTTCTGGATGGGAGACACCCCCACCCCAGCAGTGTGCCTGGGTCAGTCCTGGTTCTGTGCTCAGAGGTCACCCCCAGCAGTGC